TATATATATATATATATATATATATATACACATACATACATATTTATATTTACACATACAAATATCAGTGTATAATATACAACAATTAATGCAGATGGAGTGGTTTTTCTATATAAGTTATATGTGGTGCCAATAGCATATTAGCAACATATAGCTACAGATTATCATTAATAAGTTATATTACTCCTGCTTCATATAGGTATTTGCAAATAGGTAGAGAGATATTGCTCTTAAAGGAAACCTGTAATGGGAGAGATACAGTCATTCATGGCTACCACCGGAATATGCTAGTTACCTGACTGCCTCTGGCTTCAGTACTTTGAGATACTGACCTGGGAGAAGCATGCAAGACAGGAAAGTCAGAGTGAAGTCCTGATCTAAGTCAGTAATTTGATCTAGTCCTGACCTAAGTCAGAAAGCATGGAAGCTATTGGGTCAGCATGACAGCCAGGGAACTAGTATTTTAAGAAGGAGCGGTCAGCAGTGGTAGGCTCTGTGTTTCTGTTTTATTAAACCATTAGCTAGGGCAGATTTAGTAGCGGCTTATTGCTAAAACTGAAAATGTATAATCTGTACATATTTTTTCTTCTAATTTGTTAAATAGAATGTCTGAACAAATAGTAGAAATTAGTCATGCTGTGACAAACAGAACTATTTGTTATCGGTTACAACTGGATAAAAGCACTTGAGGGGAGGGAGCTTGTTTTGACACTGTGATGGTGTCTATGTAGTGGTATTTGAACACTTTTTATTATGTCAACAGTTTTAAATGCATTTTATATCATAAAAGTAAGGATCATTGATATGATACAATTTAAAAAATATTACAGAGGGAATGAGTACTTATATGTATGTTTTTTGTTTCTCCCTGCAGCTCCAAGGGGAAAACGAGGATGGAAAACGTTTTATGCTATTTTAAAGGGAACTGTCCTTTACTTGCAAAAGGTAAAACATTATAGTTTCTTTACAAACAGGTATGCATGAGTTTGGGCACTAAAAAAATATTGTTTATGCAATAATATCCCTTAATAATTGGCATTATAAGTGAAATTGTAGACATTAAGCTATTACTCCTTATAACTCAGGAGTTAAATTTGAAAAATGTATTCAATTGCCTTAACTATTAACAAAAATGTAGCTTATTTGTCCATCACTTGGCTGTAGATCCTCAAATCATCTCTAAATTTGTGCCAACACTGTCCTTCCTTCTGGAGGGTGGGTACTTTTGTATCCACCCTCCAAGAAAAAAAAACACTTTCCACTTAGTAAGCACAAGCATCCTATTTAAACAGTTCCAACATTTTAGGTTAAAACCAGGTTTTTTTTGCATATATTTTAAGTACACCATCACCACTGTGTTAAGACATTATTATGAAGTGTGGTTTCTAACTCAAAACTTTGAGTTTCTAGCTAAAGGATAAATATGCAATAATGAATAAGTTGAGGGCAGGCTTACCTGAAGGTAGCCCCGTTATGCTTAACCTATAACCATTTTCCTTAACCCTTTCTTAACCACTTTGCTTAACCCATTTCAATTTTTCACACACATAGTAATATGTGAATCTGTGACATAAAAGTGTACTTAAAACCCCTAAATGTCACTCAATATTTATGCTACTGTTTGTCTAATCTGTCTTTTCAGTAGAAATATATTGAAATTACTTTCATTGTACAAAAACGCAATATTTTCTGTTACATATAAAGGACAAAACTGTGTCAAGGAAACAGATACCAAATATAATAAGCCTCAAAATGGACATGACAAGTCTTCTTTATGGAGGCAGCTAGGGTCTGCTAGACCCCTACTGCTTCCGCTGTACTCTGCCCAACCAAATCAGAGCCAGGTAAGTGCCACATATCTCCTCTTTACGTGGCTCTGCTGACCAGGAACTGATATCTCTAACCCAAAAAGTGCTCAGAGCTAAGCATTTCATGTTCATTCTGTGCAGAGGAGAGCAGGGAATGGCCAAATCATTTCCACTGCACACCTGGCGTTAAGAACTAACCTCTCCATACTCCAGCACCATAGTATTTATAGACACACCAGTAAAGGGATTAAAGGTACGGAAACAGACCAGACATCTGGACTCACTCAAAGAAGCCCCAGTGTGTGTCTGAACCAAATTACAGCAAAAAAGGCATCTGCTTGAATCATTTGAATCATTTTAAAACTAGCAAAAGAAACATGGGTGGCACATGGGCAGAGCAGGACACCTAACAAATCAAAAATTCCCAATACACTCTTCAGCTGGGGACTGGTGTTCTTACAATAATTAACAGTAGTTAGACCATTGTCATTCAACCCCGAACCCTGAGGACTACTAATTAGTGAATATGCTTGGTTCAGTTTGCTGGCTATTCAACAAACCCATAGTAAATTGCTAAAATTGTTAACTTAAAATTTATTGAGGGGGAATCTGGAAGATCAACTTTGGCCATTATTAAGGCCTACATGGACATGGGGAGGTAGGCATTGCCCTGAGGGACATGTGCAATGGATAAAAAACATTTAAAAGTATCTTCCAGTGGGAAGAGGCCCACCATTTCATGTGTCTCCAGGGGCGAAATTGGGAAAACACCAATCCTTTCAATTACAGGCTTGGGAGATGCCTTTAAATTGTATGCTGGCGTCACATGATTAGAATGTGTTGTACATTTTTGTACTTTTACATTATTGCTTTTCTTTAATATAGTGGCAGCAGCACTTCTATATGACTTACTGTAATAAGTAGGAAAAAAAATATTGCTTTTTTTTAGGTAGTCTTGGATGTGACAGCTTTTTAACCGGCAGAAATTAATAGGTAGGTGTTCCAGCCTTGACAGATTCAAAAGCTATAGGAAATTTAAAAAAAAATGTTTAAACCCTCAACTTCATACAAACTGGCCAGTTGCACAGCTGTTTGATAATATAGTTTGTGTGCTTCTTTTTCCACAATATCACACTGCATTATCTTAAAAGTTTAATAAAACATCAAAGCAGAGTGCACCAGAACTCTTCAAAACCACAACTTTATTTTTATTTTTTTACATTTCCTGAAACTCCTACCCACGTATTGCCAATTATTCACAAAATATTTAAAATAAAGACTTCAGGTATATGTCTAGTAGAAATTAGCTAGCATCAGGACATTACTACAAGTGCTTGAATAGACAGCAAACTGAAAGAGCTCTGCAGTTTGGGTCCCTGCTGCCAACAGTACTATTGTGGTCTGCAGCATATCAGACGTGGTAAAAGTACCAGCCATTCAGGTACCACATGTCTGAGGAAACATATAACTATGCACCAAAGAGCCCATTCATGAACTGTAAACTAGTTCACCCACATCGTTTGCAGGTCATGCCTCTTTTGCACCTCCCCTCCCCCCTCCTTCTGCAGAGACCACAGTGGCTACTTCTTCTGCCGTTGCCTGAGTCTGACCCTGCCTGCACTTCTCCTGCTCCTTGTTTTTAATGTTACACCTTCCCCCTATCCACAAGATTCACCATCTGCAGCATCAAGCATTAGGGAGAAAACTCTGACAAGGGGTTTGAGAAGCTTACCTTTTGGCACAGCAAGCGAGTAAGAGGTTCAGCATGGGGCCATGGGTAGGCGTGAACCTCGCCCAAAGTCTCCCAACCCCACCCTGCTGTCTGTAGCATCATCCTTGACCAGGCAGGAGGCAGGCATCTGCTGGAGCGTAGAAAATAATGTGGTAAAATAACCCCAAGCCCATCATATCATTGTAATGCACAGTACTTTCACTAGGCTGTTTTTTGTACAGAATGGACACCAGCCACCTTTTAATAAATTAAAAAAATAACATTAGGGTGTTTTTTTTTCACTGTTGCATTATTAGAATTTTTTTAAATACCTCCAAACTATTGTAGTGCCTATGTGTGCAGTATTGAGATCACTTGTACTAGGCCCCATTTTGAATAGAACCCCCGTCAGCCATTTTAAAATCTAGAAATGAACATTAGCATGTTTATTCCTAGAAAAAGCCTGTAAAACATTGCAGTGCCTATGTACACAGTATTTAATTATTTGTACTAGGCCACAATTTTATCAGGACCCCCACTAGTTATTTTAAAATCTAGAAATTAATATTAGAGTATAATTTATTTTCAGAAAAAAATCCCCAAAAATATTGAAGTACCTACATGTACTATATCGAATCATTTGTACTAGGCTGTATTTTATACAGGATCCCCACTGGCCATTTTAACATTAAAATAACAATAGAGTATAATTTTTCCTCCACTGGGCTGAATGCGAAAAACGAATAGTGTATGGCCAGCCTTAGAAAGTATTGAAACCATTGTTATACTACAGCTGTCGCTGGATAAAAAGTTAAAACATAGAGCAGACAGAAAGTGCTTCTTAATTGTCTCTCAAGGCTCAATTTATAATTGTGTCATTTTGACTGGAGTGTGTCTTTAATTCCTGCTTGTGGTAGGGGCACAGTTAGAAACAGTTAAATGCCAACATACTGTTTCTGTTTATACAAAGCAATATATTCTGCATGCACTGTTTTGATTACTTCCTTTTTTATAATATAGATATTCAGCTTGTTCCAAGTCATTTAGCTAAATATATTTGACCACAATGCATAGACAGGTCATTATCTTGTGTACTTCAGCGCTGAATATCTATTATAAAAAAATCCAGTGGGTTTGATTCTTTGTTCCTCTATAATGAATAGGTGATGAATACTATCCTATGTATTAATTGGTCTAATGCAGACCATTGCCTTGAATTGCTGTACCATCAGAATTGAATTAGAACTTTACATTGAAGACCATTGATTTAATGCTGAGTGTCATGTGTTTAAACAATGTCTCTATTCATTTCCCTTGATAGAACAGATTTTAACAATGCTGGTAATTACTCTACAAAACACCCCTTGCTTGAAGGTCTAACAAAATTAATCATTTAATGAAATCTATTGAATAATACTTTTTGGAACTGCTGTAACTGTTTAATTTGTTAGTCATCTTTCACCTCTTCCTGTAAGTAGTGTATTAGACACACTACAGACAGTGTTCGTCTTCCACCCGCAGTACATGAGGGCGTGTATAGCTTTGTTTGACCTGTGAAGGTTTCTATAGCTCCTGGGTTGAAACCTAAAACAGTTGATAAGAATAAACCTGAAAGAATGTGATATATTCATTTGCTATAGCATACTTGTAAGTAAGCACTTTTAAAATATGCCAGACTTAAGTTAAAGTGTATTTCCACTGTTGCTAAGAAAGTTGAGAAAACTCCTCTATATGTTTCTTATGTATTCCCATACATACAGCATAACCACAAATGTTTAAAAAAAAAACATTTCTTACCTTTTTAGATGTGTCTGTATAGCAGGTCTTTGGACCTGCTCTCTACATTTTCAAAGTGACAGGAAACTCTGGCTGTCCCCATAGAAAGACTAGGGGCAGTGCTTCCTGATCCTGACAATGCTTCTAGATCTTCAACCCTTTCTTAGAACAGATGGTGTTCAACTCTAGTTTAAAACTGATAATGAGATCCTACAGAAACAGACAGGGTTAGGCTAAAAAGTAACTCCCCACCCTTGTTTTTCAGAGGAACACTAAGTTTAGAGATACACTTTCAGGAAAGAGCAAGTAAAGTGTAAGGAGCATTTTTTTAATATGCTATGTGAATAAAATGTAAAATAGGCGTTATCCTAATTTGGCTGGAAAAGTGTAAATACACTTTAACTTGTCACAAACTTAGGCACACTGAGCATATGTTGAAAATTATAACTACCAGAGATAGAGGCAGCCAAGGTTATAAGCAAATCTTGACTTTTCTTCTAAAAGTGGTACTTTTACCCCATCCCTTTCACCTTCCAAGCCCCCTTATTAGTTATGGCTGAACATGAAATTAAAAACCATGGACATTGCTCAGTTTGAATTGCTCCGATTTATAATATGTAGTCCATAGATAATTAAAATTAATAACTTTATTAGTTTTATGTTTACCCTTTGTAATATTTTGGATACACCTTAATCCAGACTTGTATGTTTTACTGTTGGAAATCTGTTTTTGTCCGTTTTAACATCACTTGTGTCACACTGTCCTTTTTCTCCCTGTTTCGCCTGTTCTTTTAGCTATGTTGTATTTGAAATGCACAAATTAAACTTTCATTTTAATTGATCTGCTTTTCAAATATCCTTTCTTTTCACCTTCACACACAGTTGTGTTTATGATGCCAATCCCTTGGCCTCTGTATTAAAGCCAAGTTTTGCTCAGCAAGTGGTCTAGTGTTTTGTCTGAGAACAGAAGCAGATGTATTAGTGCTGCTTGAGTGAGAAAAGGCATGGATTCTGTTTGGCATTTATGAATAGTCTCCTCATTAATATAGCTGCAATTGGTAAGACCCTACTCCAGGGAACTCCAGGGACCCATCTTTTTACAGTGTTTTATCTAGGGACTTAACCAAGGCATTGTACCACATCTGCCACACAATTTCCCAACAGACATAAGAATTAATTATATATTGTTATGTTAATATTATGCCTGCACATTGTGCTATCTTGGTTTACTAATGTTGTCCTTAAAAATCTTTGCAAGCAAATACTTTATTAATGTATATGAAAATATATATGCATACACAAGTGTTACTATGTCCAGACTAGTTGGCAAATATAAGTATACTGGGCGTACTAAATTTACTACAGGCGTGAAGGCCATTTACTGTACCTAGCAAAGTAAATATTAGTAAATAATGTGTACCTGTATTCCTACGGAAGTGAGGAAAGTTAAGGAAAAAAACAGTATGTTTGCAAGTACTTGACCGGTGGATTGAAGTGAACACAGCTTTGCTTTATTTATTAAGCTCAGTGAATATTTTCATTGCCAGGTGAACAGCCTCTCTTTAGTACATCAACCCCAATAAAAAAAGGGGGTTCCTGTCTTTTATTTTCCATAATAATTAGGGTTCTAACTTACATATATAAATACTGATCAGTGAATAATATAAAATCCTTACTGGTGTCAGATTTTCAGTCATCTCCTACAACTCCTTTTCTAAATATTTTAAACATGTTAAACAAAAAAGAACTCCAAAGCAGAGTCTACTAATGCTATGTGTGTAGTGCTGGAACCTACTTTTGTTAACACCTGCCTGTATTTCTTTTAGTATTCAACAGGCACTTTAAGTTGCAGTCTAAACAAACTGATGACCGCCCCACACCACCCATCATAACTTACAACTCTTTGCTTCCTGGCCCTAGCCCTAGTAGCTTCTGGCTCTGGCATAATACCAGCCACTTACCTGCACCGCTGTTTTGGAGTACTGGGTTGCTGAAAAACCAGCATTATCAGCATTGCTTTTATGAGAGGTGGTCCATTCTTTGGGTAACCTTCCTCTTGAAGCACATCTCAGATTTTGGGGATTTTTACATTGAAGGAGATCTCTGTGGTTGAGATCATTTTGTTGAGGTGCTATGGGGATTCTTGCCTCTATGCTTGGTGGGCAAGGCTTTTATCTCATGACGGCTGGTGGGACACTTCTTTTTTTAAACCGTTTTAAACAATAAAGTGACTCTTTATGGATTTTGTGAGCTATGAACATGAATTATATATTCAGTACAACTTCACTACCCATGCACATGAGATACTGTTTATCCAGTGTCTAGAATTTAGTGCACTGCAAGCAACAGTCATTGTATGCAGATCACAAAAACTTGCAGAAACAAGTGCTGGTCTTTTTATTTTTCCTATGTATCCAATATTTTAAAAAGTAAAAACTGCAGCCAAAATCTGAATTTAGATAGTATGAGCAAGAGTTACAAAAGTGCTAGGGTTTTTTTTCAAGTTTTACACTCGATGCCACTTTTTCCAGGTGGCATCATACACTGGTGACCATTGTCAAAGGCACTAAAGAGATTTCCAGTATTTCCTGTTATGTCTCTGAGACAGTCACCCTAGTGGATCATTGCAACAAGAACCTGACAGAGGTTCTCACCCTTTTACACTCAGTCAAAAAACAATAAAATAGCCTTGAACTTCTGCTCCTAGAGGACAATATAAAGATTAGAATGGTTCCCTGGTTTATTGTCTATAAAAGGTTGCATCCTACAGTATATGCAAAATCTGATGCTGGTCTGATCGTTTGCTAATGTCTGATAACCGGATATTGAGTTTCGGTCATTGACAGACGAGACGTGATTAAATTATTTTTCCCTTTATAGTTTAAAAATACAAATATTTAATCTGATTCATTTTTTTCTTTTGATTCAGTTGGACGCTTGGCATTTAACACTGGATATACCTGTAAACATCTAATTTCTCCCATCAGGGATGCTTTTTAGATGTATGAGAAGGTTAATGCAATGAAAATAATTCCCCACTAGATAGCCAGATGACAAATAATAGCTGTACAGGTTTTTAACATAGTGCCCTTTAAATTAGTTAAAAAAGGGATAAACAGATTCTATGTGAATGCTTATCTAGGTCATTCTATATGATTCTTTAAATAGGAGGATGAGAAAACTCCTCAGAATTCAGTGCAAAAGATGGTGATTTATTGATCCAGCCACACAAAATAGGCTAAACAAAATAAAACCATTTTGTAGGTGAAAGGTGAGGTAGGTCATCCTGTAAAGGACAAAGTAAATATGGTCAATAAATCATTGACATGTGTCTTGAATCTTCCTACCATACTACCCACTGTCACATGGTTCAACTAAAGTACATGTTTTAAACACATACTTTATAGCAAATTCATACTTGTAGTATTTATATTCTTAGAGTGTGTTTCCTGTTGTAATTGTTTACAAGGGACCTTTATCTCATTGAGCTGTTTATGGCAAATGTCATAGGGGCACTGAAAAACCTGTGCAGGAATGTGCCCAGTATATGATTGTTCTACTATCTGCAAAGGGTAGACAGGGAGGGTTAGCAGATGTTTTTATTTTTTCTTTGTTAATATGTGATCTTGTGTTGTGATGTTGTGAACTTCCATTTTGTAAAACTAGTTAGGATGAATAATGGATGTCAAGCCATTTGCCCCACTCAAGCAGGGTTTGGGATCTAGTTGGAAGGGTTTCTTTCTGTAAATGAGAGAGCTAAATGCACCAGCATCACATTAGCTATCCTGAACAACCATTGTGAAATTAATGGCAAAAAGTGGCAAAAACTTCAGTAGCCAAAATTGCCCACAGGCAACACTTTAAAGACCTTTACCACTCATCAATTTACAGTGAGTGATGGCCCTAGAATTATTACTCACACTCTAATACTTGCAGCAATATGTAACGTGTGGCACAATCAATATTTTCTTACGTTGGTGCAACTGACGCATGTTTGCGTTTCTATATGTGAGGATGGGGGGCTTTACATTTTTTAGGGGGGTGGGGGGGTTTATTGCTTATAGGAAAATTACATCTTTTCAGCTTTTTTTTTTTTTACACTTAACTTTGCTGCTATCGTATACATAGAGGGCTAACAAGACCCCTCTGTGATGGCATTGAGGAAGTGACATGTCCTCTTTATGGAGACATCAGACACCTATGAACCCCAAATTATGAAATTAAATACAGAACGTGCTTCATCAGCTGCTTCTCTAGCCACAGCAGTCGAGAAAAATTACAGCCTGTAGCTGAAAGTGACTAAATCCATGTCGCTTCCGGTTTCAGTGATTGGAGGGGAGATCAGACACTGGAAGTGATCTCCCTCCAATTAAGTCACAGACACCTTCTGTGCTGGTTCCCAGGCCCTTACAGGGGACAGCAGAGCCCAGGATAGCCGACAGAGGAGGAGGGGGGGCACACACTTCTCAGCTACACACAAGTAATCAGGCGGCTCTGTAGCCACCCAAACACTTGTATATGACAGCAGGGCGTTGGTCAAAAACATGAGTACCAAGATTTCAGCTGCTGCAGCAGCTGTGATCTTGGTAGAACCATTTCCGGACTGTGCTGTTTATATACATATTGTGGTCCTGAATAGGTTAAAAACACTGCATATCCCTGCCTCTTCTGATTAGCAGCTTCGTCTGGGTTTTTTTGTGTGTCTGGGTCATCTCCAACATTGCCCTCCGCCACAACACAATAAGCTTGGCTGTAGGAGGGCTGAGTGGGGCTGGAATAGTAGAGATGTGGGTGGGGATGTGGGAGGGACATTTGGGGGAGGTGTGGTGCTGTGAGTGTATGTGTGACTACAAAGGGGGACAAGGAAGGCACACTGAAATGTGAACACAGACATACAGGAAATGTGTGTAAATAAGCTTCTCAGTATCTATTCAAAGGTATTTAGAGGGGCAAAATGGGTATAGAAATGTAAAGATGCCATGTGAGAGATGTTAAAATGGCCTGCTGAAACAAACATAACATTTTTGTTTTATGACACTTCATTATTTCTCTCTCACATGAAATGTCTGTTACATGTCCTGAATGACATGCACTTCTTGCATGCATTATCTTCCACAGAGCTGTTAGTGCAGATGCTGACCACTTTATGTTGCATGAAATGAAAAAAGTATATTTGAATACATATTTTAAATTTTGATAAAGGTAGCACTGCATGTGCTTGCCCATCCCTTTTTTATAAATAGTTAACTAATGCAGAAGCTTTAACCAAAATGTAGTATCAACTGACCATTGATTTGTTACAGCAGCATACCCTATACATTTATTTTCAATAAGCTTTGTCCAGAGTTACCCTATCTCTTGCCAACTTGTAAGCCTCGAGGAAGGGAGAGTTTCTCGGACTCCTGAAATATGTTTGGTTACCCTACACTTATTTGCTTAATAACATTTACTCCTTTTAAAACACAGGATGAATACAAGCCAGAGAAAGCTCTTTCTGAAGATGATTTAAAAAACGCTGTAAGTGTGCATCACGCCTTGGCCTCAAAGGCGACAGATTATGAGAAAAGACCCAATGTCCTCAAACTGAAGACAGCAGACTGGAGAGTTTTCCTCTTTCAAGCACAGTAAGTATATTAATTATGCTAATCACAAAAGCACATTGGATGAAATTTCTATCTGCATTGTTCTCAAATCCCTAGAAATATGTCAGATGATATCACATAACATTTCAGACAAATATGTTGTTTATGATCGTAGTAAAACCTTTCTGGGTATAATGTCTTATCATTTCTGCTAAATTTCAAATGAAGGGTCCAGGGCAGTATTTCTACAGTATCACTCACCCCCTTCCCATCTTGTGTCACCTCTAGAAGTTGAGCCAGCTGATGTGTAACCATGATTTTTCTGCGGCAGCACAGCGGTGTAGTGGTTAGCACCCCTGCCTTGCTGCACTGGTCCCCAGTTCTGATCCCAGTCAAGACGCTATCTGCAAGGAGTTTGCATGTTCTCCCTGTGCTTGCATGAGTTTCCTCCCACACTACAAAGACTGGTGGGTTATTTGGCTCCTGTCTGAAATTGGCCCTGTTTGTATGTGAGATAGGGGCGTTAGACTGTAAGCTCTTTGAGGGCAGCGACTGATGTGAATGTGCACTGTGTAAAGCGCTGCGTACATTGGCGGTGCTGTATAAGTACCTGTAATAAATCATTTTTTTCACATCAGCTGCAACTAGAGCGCCGGATTCAAACACGCTGTAAATGTTAATAGCTTTAAGGCTAATAAGGGGCATCTTAAGGGGATGCATTTGGGAGAACCAAGATTTTCATCTTGGCGGAGAGTGGAATATGGAGTGCACTGGTCTGTAGCCCTGTAAAACCGTTGGGAAGCACATTGCAACTGAAGGGCAGTATTCAACATTTTTCATAGGTTTCTGTGCACTCAGATTGCACTAAATACTGTAGCATGATACAGCTTCAAGGTGAGCATAAATGCAGAAAAGTACATGTTTAATCATGTATAAATATACGAAGAATACTTGCATAGTGCTACATATTCCTTTCTGTTTTTTCAAATAAAGCACACATATTATGCACTACTCCACAACACAGCTGTGCATATAATAGTATAGTAATGTTAATTTCTATAGCAAAGGGCTTGAATGCTGTGCAAGGCATGAGAAGCCATAGCAAACACTCTTGCACACAGTAAACATATCGTATTTTTCGCTCCATAAGATGCACTTTTTCTCCTCCAAAAGGTGGGCAAAAATGTCTGTGCGTCTTATGGAGCGAATGTGTGAGAGCTGAGGGAATCCCTATTGCCCGGCGCCCGGGGCATGCAGTTTCAGGCGCGGGGGCGAGTCGTTTTTTTTTGTACATGTAGCCCTGCTCCTGACAAGCTGAGCCGCTCGTTTTCATACAAGTGATCTGAGTAGATCTAGATCACTTGTATGAAAGGAGCAGCGGCGATCCTGTGGTCAGGTGCGTGTTTTGGAGCGTGTTTTGGAGCGCAAAATACGGTAAATCTGTTATTGGTTGATATTGGAAATGTGTTTCTTATGCTCTATGCATATACTTGTTGCTTTATGTACAGCTTTTTGGAATACCCCTGGTGTGGTGTTTAAACAAATCTTTAAAAAATGCAACGTTCAAGTTTAAGAAACTTGCAGTTTTCTTGCATATGAGCTATTAAGTGTATATGTTTCTTATATAAGGATCTGGGTTTTTTCTCCTTCTAGGAGCACAGAAGAAATGGAGTCATGGATTAACAAAATTAACTGTGTGGCAGCAGTGTTTTCTGCTCCACCCTTTCCAGCAGCCATAGGATCCCAGAAAAAATTCAGCCGCCCATTGCTCCCTGCTACTACCACCAAACTATCTAAGGTTTGTAGCTCCACCCTTTTCTGTAGCAGAGAATACTATGGGCTATTTTATGAAAAATTTTAATTGTTAATTAATTGCCATGGGCAAGGGCTGCTGGATTCATAATTCAACCCCTGTGTTCTTAAGTTATTGTTGAGCCTTAAGCTATATTATGTGGGGATTGTTCATGAACTTTTTCAAGATTGATTTTTTTTTTATATCTGTGGCATCCAGCTGACTATCTACCCATCATTTTCAGGGAAATATCTACCTATCTGCCACAAAAATGCTAAATTCATGAAGGATTTGGGTTTCTAAAAGATTGAAAGAAAGCATTTGGCTTCATATAACACATATAAATATAGCCGGGTGAATACCATTCACACTGCACCAGCACCCCTAGGAATCGCTATACTCATCAGCGCCATCTAGTGGAGCTGGTTCCATGCAAATGGTATCTGCCCAGCTATATGCCAGGGGGAAGTTTTATAAATGAACCCCTAAGTGTCTATGCTGCCTCAAACCTTTTATCAGTTTGGGATAAAGTTAGTGTAATTAAATATATGACATTCTCCCAATCTAAACATCTTTATATGTAAAATCCATCAGCTTGCATGCTTCCACTCCCAGTGTGCTGCTCTGCTGGTAGCCAGAATTAGTTGTTAGCCCTATAGAAGACGCCAAGGAAACTGCTAACATTTAGCTGCCAGCGGGCAACAGAGTAGAACTGTTCAGGCTGCCCAGTTTTACACATGAAGATCAAATTAAGATCTCTGTATCAGTCAGGAGAGCTGTACATACAGCTCTTGGTTATACTATACTAGATGTTTTTGCTAAATACTCTGCCAATTTTAAATGTGTTTAAACATGCCCTGTTTTAGACTGTGGGAATGTCTACAATAAAAGGGGCTAACCTTTGAAGGTGCATCTGCAAACCCCATGGCAGGATTGAGAAACCTCAGTTAAAATCCCTGATCATTATAACTCATTTATTCATTTCAGCTTTTTTTATTTACAATAATATGCAGTTTTATTTTTGTTATCACTTAGATTAGTCATGAGAGTGGGAGAATATTGTGACTGTTTTTTGCCATGTAGAAATGCTGGAGAATTTGCTTCATGGAGTTGTTTTTTTTTCATGTGTCCCTAGTGTACATTTCAGCATTAGATGTGCATTATCGAAAACAAACAGTATTTGCTTAAAAAGAGCATCCTATCACTGAGTGTATGAAAAAGTATTATTTCTTAATTGTACAGTAAAGGGCAGAGGGTCTTTAAGCCTTAGACCATGAGTTATATCCTATCCCCAGGTAACTGGACACTGGCAAAAGAAAAATCTGCAATGACAGCCCCCATAGAACCTCTCCCTCTTCCAGCAAGCCTCAGTTTTGTGGCAAGCAATTAGGAGCTCCTACAAATTGAGGTGTGGTTCCTGTGTCCTGTACTATGTCTGTGAAGGTTCTCATTCATCCAGGTCATGGTATATCTGAAAAAAATAAATCAATGGCAACTGGACTTGCTGTATTTTTCTTAAACTAGTGCTCCTCCCTGTGGGAGAAAACAGAAGGGCGCCCACCCTAGTGTAGATTCTTTTTAATATTGTATATTGAGGTAACAATAAAACCATACTCACAAAAGTGAATCAAGACATAAGTTTATAAGGTAAGCCAGAATGACATCTGCAACAAGCTGCACAGAAGATTGTGTGACAGCACTGGACTCCTTACGATGACGCGTTTCCGGGGCCCCGCCCCCTTCGTCAGATCTCGTGGCCCCGGAAACGCATCATCGTAAGGAGTCCTGTGCTGTCACACAAGATGTCACAAAACGCGTCATTCTGGCTTACCTTATACACTTCTGTCTTGATTCACTTTTGTGAGTATGGTTTTATTGTTACCTCAATATACAATATTAAAAATAATCTACACTAGTTTGGGCGCCCTTCTCTTTTGTTTTCTCCCACAGTATTGCAGCTTCCCAGGCTGAAGTGGGGCAGCACCCCTAGTAATCCTCACCCGCAACTATCCTTCATTTGTTGGTCAACGTTTGGCGCTTCTGATTCATTTTTTATCAGTCCTCCTCCCTGTCAAGGATGTGTACTTGACTGTCTTCAAAGGAGTGGCCTTTTTCATTTAGATGTGGGTACACTGCTGAATCTTGACCAGAGGTTTTGGCTCTTCTATGCTTCAATGCAAAATCTATGTAAATCTTATGGGGAAAACATTTTAAGGACCCCTAAGTATAAAAAGTATCAGTTTTTGGTATCCATTTAACTGTCTGCTTCTACTCTGATTGCATACTTTGACCTTTGAACGTGTGCCCAGGGCAGGAGCTGCATTTTCACACTGTTAGTATGCATTATTCCTCAATAATGAGCTCATCAAATAAATCAATCTTCCGTACTAGTCAGATTGTGCCACATATATTACAGTGTGAAGTAATTTTGCTATATTGAGTTATCTGCACTGAAATTTCAGGGAAACTTTTGATTTAATATATCTCTGCAAGTCCTGAAGCGTTAAACTAGCTGTCAGTCATCTGCTTTTTAGGAGGAACAGCTGAAATCACATGAAACAAAACTCAAACAGATCTCCACTGAGCTGGCTGAGCATCGTTCCTATCCACCTGACAAGAAAATAAAAGCTAAGGAAATAGATGAATACAAGATGAAAGATCACTATTTGGAGTTTGAGGTATGTGTTCTGAAATACGAAACTCTCAAAATACATGTCACCATATGTAGCAATGTAGGTTCTGTTAACACTAAGTTCCAGCATGCTCTGCAGCATCGGGAGTCAGGTTGAATGGTCTTTTCACTTCCTTTTTATAGTGCTAGAAAATATGTCATTTTTATGATATGATCTTTATCTTTCTAATAGTACAGGTGCTTTATTCATATGGCACTATGGCTGCATTCATAAACAGAATGCAATTCATTTAACACTGTTTAAAGCACATTAGAACTGAATTCTGGGAGATAGCAAAAACATCTACAAAAATTGTGGATAGGATGGGAAGGTGTTAAAACTACTATCACTTCTTTTATTGCTTTTACTCTGCTGGGAAGAGTTGTCACTTTATGTGACATCAGACTACGGAATGAGGGCAATGGGTGTCACCAGGAAAAGAGGGTAAAAAAAAGAACAAAACCTTATAGAGGGTTTTAATCCTTGCTTGCATTAGGGATGGAGTACAGGAGGCGGTACAGAATGAGCAAAAGGATGACTTCATCAGTGTGCCACTTTTGTTTCATTAACCAGTCCAGCAGAAGGTGTGTTCTGTCCCAAGCAGTTGATCAAGCAGTGCTACTGCTGCTGTGGGGGCCAGTGATCTGCATGGTTTCTAATTTGTGCATAGACAATTATTATTATTACATAGTATTTATATAGCGCCAACCGTTTGCGCAGCGCTTTACAATATAAGGAAGACATTACAATTCAAGACAAGATGGTAAGGAGGGCCCTGCCCCTGAGGGCTTACAATCTGAAAGAGGAGGGGGAAATGATACATGAGGAGGTAGATGTGTGGGGATGAATTATTTGAGAATGTGAAGGTTCAGTCGTTAGAAGGTTCGAAGGCTAGAAGGTTCAATTAGAAACCATGCATAGAAATACTGGTTAATTACTTAAATTACTAAAAAAAATATTAAATACTTTAGTCTTGAGTTGTGTCAAGTATACATTTACACTCTATGGACAAAGCTTGTAGACACATGACCATCCCATCCACACTTAATTGCCAAAACTATGTGGATAACCCTGAAAACTTGTTGCCTTTATGTGTTTCCAGTGAAGGGTACTGGTTATGATGCAACATACAAAGATATTTTAGACATATTTTGCTTCCAGCCTTGGGGCAACATTTTGGGGACAAAACCAGGTTCATGAAGATTTGGAGGAGAATTTATTAAAACTGAAGAAGACAAAATCTAAAACAGTTGTCCATTCAGCTTCTATATATATATTTTCAAAGCTTAACTGAATAAACTGAGAGAAAAATAGAAGCTGATTGTCTGGCATGGGCAACTGCTTCAGATTCTGTTTGCTCCAGTTTTGATAAGTTCCCCCCACGGTGCAACAGGTGTGTTATGCGCAAAGGCCTAACATCAACCCTAATGAAATGAACTGACTTTACAAATACAATTCTGGCTGAACAGGTGCATATTTTACCAGATGCTCTTCAGCTTGAGGAAATTCTTGGCATAAGAGTAAAGGATGTTATAGCTGCCAAGGGAGGGACTTCATATTAATGCCCACGTTTTTGTAATGGGTTGTCCAACAAGCTCATATAGCTGTGATGGCCAGGTGTCCACAAATTTTTGGCCGTTAAGTGTATGTTTGTAAGAATATCATTTTTTTTTAGAGCATTTATATACAGATCAGTGATCTTGCATATTTATGTATCAGCACACATAGTTTTTTGCCAATGTTAACATATAAACGTATGAGTCAAGTACTTGAGATTTTGCACTGTGTTCTAAATGTTCTGCAATCTTTTTTTTTTTTGTTCAAATTGAATTCTCAACCTCTTTGTTCATGCTGAGATACAGCATGTAACTTTGCTATTGCTAAGGATTCTCTGTTGCTACATCCACAGCTTTAGAAATGTTAAAAGCCTTTTAGGGTATGGGGAATTAAAGCTTACTTTTCTAATTTTGAAAAATATTTTGTATCAATTTTAATGTGGGTAAAACAAACATTTCTTTAAAGTAGCTTTTTGCGGAGAAGGGTTACCCAACCTATGTTTTGATGTATCTAGTAAAATAAAACATCCATCCTGCTTGTGTATGTCTTTATATAGATGATGAATTTAACTTCAGTATAATCTACTTCAGAATGTGTAAATTGTAGCAAAAACAAGTTATAAAACTGTAATAGCCATACATGTATTTGTGTCTTAGGGCAGGCATAGTGCATACATAACTATATGAGACATGTAATAATCAGCTAGTGGCAAGATTTGCCTTCTGTGCCTACTTTTACCAAATGCAAAGTCACATACACTCACTGGCAACTTTATTAGATACATCTTGCTAGTACTGGGTTGGACCCCTTTTGTCTTGAGAACTGCTTTAATTCTTCATGGCATTGATTCAACAAAGTAATGGAAACATTCCTTAGAGAGTTTGGTCCATACTGACATGATAGCATTTAAAAAAAGGGTTGAGAGACAGTTAAAAGATACAGTGCACGGTAGTAATGCAGGATAAAAGGCCTTGATGTATGGATCCCCTGTCCCGGCTAATCTTCTGCTGAAGTAGTGAGGATCTGTGTTTTTCAAAGAGAGCTGTTCCTCAGTACTAACAGGCACTGCAGATTTTTCCTTCCCCTACATTTTACAAAAATGCAATGAAGCAAAAGGAAGCAGTACAAGACAAGTGCATGCAAGCACTTTACTTCTTGGTGGCTGCTGTGATGTGGCAATAATGTAGGAGGGAAGAAAGACAGAATAGTCACAGAGGCAAATTGTGTGACATCTACTAACTAGACATTTCTTATAACATAAAGGAGGCAAAAGAGTTGATGACTTGGACTGTACTCTATTCAGACTTTAGTCAAGAGATGGTATAGGGCCAATGTTACCATGAAGCAAGCTAAAAATAATTTCTGGTGGTGCTGCCTATGTGTGGCACTAGATGAGGCTTTTACCTTGTGTTCTGGCCTAAACTACCTCAAAGTACTGCCTGTGTCTGTATACATGAAGGAAGGAGCATCAGTGTTCAGGGATGCTGTTCCCTATTGTGTGTAATTTTGAGGTGCATGCACATTAGGGAAACTTTCATCTGATACATAATTGTTCTCCCCTTGTGGTTTTAAGAGTTTCTATCTGTCATATGCATACTGGCAAGATATGAGCATGCTAGGGTATTATACTATTGGCAGAGCAAGACATGTTTTGATTTTGTTAATGGGAACCTGTCAGGATGGAACTATAAATATGAATGATGACATGAATGTTTAAAGATTGTATCCTTCCTTCAAGGTTTAGTGAGCCAGTGAAGTTGGAACTGCTTATTTGCATACTTAGGGGCTCATTCAGATGAACAGCTAGAGGCAGCTAGACTGAAGCATTCATATGCAGTTAAACTCCACACCTGGCCACAGCAACACTTTGCGCTATGCCCGCATACAAACTGGGCAGTTAGCAGTGGCCAGACCACCAGCCCCATATGCAAACTGTCTGCATCCAGGGCCTGTCAGAAGCCGTATTCAAATGTAACCACTAGTATGAGCCATTACATGCAGACATCAACACCAGACATTAATTGGTACAGGGTACAAATGTGGTCTCATGGCTGCAGGCTGTGGCTGTTTGCGCACAACAATATAGGGCTAAATAAATATATTAAATGAAAGTACTGCAGAGAATGATAGTGAATCAAAATAATGATAATAAAACATAAAAAAGAAGATTCTAATTGCCAATCTAAATTATAACCAACCATGTTGGATGGGACAGACCCTAACCCAACAAACACATACCTTTTGTTGTTCACAATTATCAGTGCACTGCATAATCACAAAAGAGGACTCCCAAAGAGTCGAAGCACTAGCATGGTCTGAGGAGATGGTGCTTCTGGAGTTAGCATCAGTGCTGCAATTACCCAAGGCTGTGCTAAGATCTGCAGGGTACAGAGTGGGGGACAGCAAAAAGGGGCCCCAAAAAGATGAGTATCTGACACTCCTGGAAGTGTCAATTTCTTATTAAAATTACAGCATGCATAACTATAAAAAAGTATGTGTGGCTTAGGAAACAAATGGTGCAAACAGTAAGTACAAATGTTGGTTTACTGATGAGGTAAAACCAAGGTTCCCAAAGTGTGACCTGCTGGCAGGGTCTTTTTCAGCACAGCTTATACTGTATACTTCATTGTGCTTCCCTTGGATTGATCAGGGCTGAGTCTCCAACACTGGAGCTTGTAGGAACACAACAATTTCTTATTGATCAAGAACTAACCTGGCTTCGAATGTTATGACAAAGTGTAATTAGGCTTATATAGAATCACTGTGTTTATTCTGCTATAAAAGCTGCACCTGTTACCTTCAGGCACAGGCCTAATGGTAAATAAGATAAATAAGCTCCCTCCTATTTATACATTGATTAATTATTCATCATTAATTTAATTTGTTAAATTTTTAAAATGTCTGCTTTAAACCCTAGCCTTGCAAAAAGAACACAGGACCAAGTAATATTTAACCACAACCTCCCCCACTAAATAATGTATTATTACCTAAGACAACTGAGAATCCTGAGTGCATTTAATTGAAAGTTAAAGCATAGGCTGAAGACCAAAGAATAGGGAGACTAATTAATGTAGTTCCAAAACACTGGTGCGTGGGGTTAAAACAATATTTAACTGCTCTTGTAGCACTGCTTCTTTACTTTTTTTTTCATTAATTTAGACGTAGGGATCTTTGAAGCGCTTTCTATCAACAGAGCTTTGAAGACAAAATACAGTTTCATAGATTCTGATCTTTCAGTTGCTGTACCCACAGTGCTTTCAACTGCGATAATCTCTTTGTTACAGCAGAAGACAGATATGCTGTGGCTTAAATCACCATTCCCACTTAGCAAAGCTTATTGACATTGCATTAAAGCTGAAATCTGCTCTGGAAGCTTAAAAACATCACAGAATCACACATTTTGGTAGTTGGTTAATACCATGTACAGCTTTCTTTGTCTTTCTTTCTAA